CCCCCCATCCGCGGAGGGGGGTTAGGGGGGCTGGGAGAGAGCACCCCCCTGAAATGATGGCAGATAGCACAGGAAGCAATAGCTTCTTTGCTATCTGCAGGTTTTTTTTCTGATTTTGTTTTTAGTATTCTGACAGTTGCAGTCGTCACAATATAAAAAAAAGGCATAAGAATGCATAGCTAGAAAACGATCGCAGGGAAAGGTTTATCTGCTCGATCGAGCAGATAAACCTTTCCGGGAGGAATTGTTTCTCTCCCGGGCGGCCGGGAGCCGCTATCCAATAGCGGGAGACTCCCGGAGCGTCCGGGAGAGTTGGGATGTCTGTGACAGGGTTACTTTAAGTTGCATTATAATGTTAAGTACTTGCAGAATTTCAGATTCTTATGCTGCATGGAACGACACCAAGGGGAATTTATCAAAACTGAAGCAGACACAATCTGGAGCAGTGGCCCATGGCAACCAATCAGCTTCTATTCTCAGTTTGTTCACTTAAGATTTGAAAATTAAAGAGAGAAGCTGATTGGTTGCTCTTGGCAACTGCTCCGGATTTTGTGTGCTTCAGTTTTGATAAATCCCCCTCTCTACGCTTTAGTATACTGTATGCCCAGGCTGCACAGTGATGCTGAGGCCAGAGGGTGTGTCCATGACAACCTAGGCTCACAGTTAGGCCCCATTCACACGTAGCGACATACCTTTTGCAGCGGCCGGGATAGCACGACTTTCGCGGCGACGATCCAGCGACGGTAGCGCGACCTTCTCCGCCGGGCTCCATTAGAAAAAAGCAAAATCGCGCAAAATCCGCAGAAAAAAGGGTCCTGTAAAAGCGACTTGCGACCGCGACGAGCGACGCGAGACATGGAGCTAAGACAGCTCCATTGAATATCATTAGCCGGCGACTTCTCGCGATATCGCGCAGCAAAAATGCGCGATATCGCGGCGGAAATCGCGCAATATATCGCTACGTGTGAATGGGGCCTAAGAGGTTGAATGAGGCTGGGCGTCATTCAACCCAGAAGTGACCAGGGTCAGTGGAGGATGGGGATATCAGTGTTAATTAGAAGTTAAATATTTTATTTCCTTTTTTTTTTTTTTTTTCACAAGTAAGTTTTTATTGTGATTATCAATTGCATAGTTACATACAGTATTCAAGTATAATATAGTACGGTAAATGTGGAGGTATACATGAAGGGGGGAAGGGGAATTCGAGGGAACAAGCTTCAATATACAATATACCGGGCGACTGTTAGCAGAAAGTAGTGACATTCAGTATTCTAGTATATTAAAGTACAATGAACGGGGAAACATACATGGAGGGGGGAAGGAGATTTCAAGGGAACAAGCTGCCATCAACAACATATCAAGCGATCATGTGTCTAGCAAAAACATTCCTGTTATTCATTTATATAGTTCTTTTTACCTTAATATGCCTAATTATAACTTGCAAGAGATAAGGTCCCAAGAGTTGCCAAGAAGTTGAAGCAGTTGCTCGAGGTATGATTGTACTTGGGGCCTAAAGGATTGTTCAACTGTGGTTGCTGTGCTCAGCTGAAGAGGGCTTTTATCGCTATGTTTTCTTGAATGTGCTTGTCCTAGAAGTTTAAAGCCACCTAATGTGAAGGAGGGAGAGAAGGGGGAAAGAATGGGGGAGAGAAGGAGGGGAAAGTGTTAGGGGTCCCTAGTCTGCCGGGAGCGGTAAGGGACATAGGGGAGAACTATAGGTTGAAAGATTGAAAAATGGGGGATACGAAGAGGGGGAGGGGGAGAGCTAGGGAAGAGTGAAATGTGGGAAGTGGGGAAAGATGGGGGGCGAGAGGGAGCCAATTGTTACTGCGTTAGGGCTACGTATCTGTCAGTCGCTTTGAACATGTGCCATGCCGCCCATGTTTTCACAAAGCGGGGCATGGTGTCCCTGTCACTGGATATCAACTCCTCCAGGTGAGCTACCGTGTCCACTCGCGACAACCATTCTTTAATTGTCGGTGACTTAGGTTTCTTCCAATGCCTGGGAATCACCGTTTTAGCCGCGTTCAGCAGATGTAGTGTCAGGGACTTTTTGGAGATGCGGAGTGAGTCATCAAAATGGTATAGCAAGAAGGAGACTGCCGAGAATTCCAGTGAATCTCCCGTTATGTCTCTAATGAGTGAGTGGACCTCGGTCCAAAACTTGGTTATGAGTGGGCAGGACCACCAAATGTGCAGTAATGTGCCTACCTCTTTATCGCATCTCCAGCATTTATTGGGCGTATTGGGAAAGATGCGGTGAAGGATCTCAGGAGTTTTATACCACCTGGAGCGTATTTTTATGACAAAGAGGAGTGGTGACAACGGACAGCCCTGTCTCGTCCCATTGTAAATGGGGAAGGCCTCCGACAGGGAGCCATTCACGCGAATCCTTGCAATCGGATTATGGTACAGCATGGTTATGCGGTCCACCATTCGCTGGCCCAAGCCGATATGGCCCAGGGACGCGAAAAGATAGTCCCAGGCCACCCTGTCGAAGGCCTTCTCCGCATCGGTGGACAATAGAAAGCCCGCCCGCCCATCGCCTCTGAGCCAGTGTTGAAGGCCTATCGCTTTGGTGGTATTGTCGCGCGCCTCCCTTCCAGGGATAAAGCCCGTCTGATCGCCTTCAATAATGTCTGGGAGAATTTTGGCTAAGCGGTTCGCTATTATTTTCGCGTGCAGCTTCACATCTATGTTAAGAAGGGATATGGGGCGGTAATTGGCACATAATGTTTCGTCTTTCCCTGGCTTCGGCAACACCACAATGTGGGCTTCCAATAGGTGTGTGGAGTCGTGAGGTTGTCTGTCGAAAAGGTCAAAGGCTGTTAAAAAGTGGGGGATGAGATGTTCAGAGAATGTTTTGTAATAGTGGGACGTGAACCCATCTGGCCCAGGGCTCTTCCCGGGTTTTAGTTGTTTTATTACCTGCGCTACTTCTTGGGGCGTAAAAGGGGCTTCTAATTCTGCTTTGATCGTTTCTTTTATGGGCGGAGGGCTATGCGTCAACAGGAAGGAGTCAATAAGACGTTTTCTGGCTTCACAGGTAG